GAGGGCTGGGGCAGGCAGCCCACCGCCCTGGGGGTCACGGGACCTGGGGTTGCCCGACTCCACCCCCGAGGCCGTATGTCAACGTGCGGGTGTCACGCGTGTGCCCTGGGTGCCCGAGTGCACGCCTCACCCAGTTTGAGCAGCCAGCCCTCGCGGTCGGGGTTGAAGAAGGTATGAGTGAGGTCATTGCCATCATCCTCGGGGATGGAGAAGGGCTCGCTCTTGATGCTGTCGAAGAGGTTCTGTCCCCGGAGAAGGGAGGGAGAGACCCGGCTGTGAGGTTCATCCTGCTCCAGGGCTTGGGCCCCTGCCTGGCCCGAGTGGCCTCGAGACCCTCCCCGCTTCCCCCAGGCCGCTGGTGCGAACCCCACCCGCACGTCAGGCCTCCCCTCTGTAGGTGGAACAGAGCCGGCGAGGACCCTGTGGCGGCCCTGCCCACGGCCCTTGCCTAAGGCAGGTTGGCAACCCCTTACCGACCAGGCGGGTGATGGTCCTCACCCCCCATCCGGCCTCCCCACCACCCCCCGCCACCTTTGCTGGAATTCTAGCCAGCAGCATTTCAGTAAGAGCACTGGCTTTGGTGGAAGGCTGTCTGGGTTAAAATCTCAGCATGAATTGATGGCTGTGTGACCCTGGGCATGTTCCTTAACCTCTCTGAGCTGCCGGGCCTCATCAGCAAAAATGGCGAGAGAGATGCTAACTCCCAGTAAATGGACTGCGCAGGGCTCAGAGCTCCCCCCCACCCAAGTCCAGGGGAAGGTGAAGGGGAAGGGGGAGTATAGCCCCTGCCTTCACCCAACCACCCAGAGCTGCTCTTATGGGTCAGATGAGGGAGTCAGGGACTCCCTCCTGAAGGTGGGGGATACAAGGACCCTCAGCTGGGACCTGTACGCCCGCACACGTGTTCACCTGTGTGAACACACACACACACACCCAGATATATACAGATACCCGCTAGGGCACAGCGGCGGCCAGGGTCAGGGCCGTCTTGGGCAACATCCACGAGGAGAGGGGGCTCCCCTTTTGCTTAGTTGCAGTGACGGAGACTTCCAGGTGTACCCTGGGTAGGGGGACACAGAGGAGCCACCGGGGAGTTAGGGATTGACCGCCAATGTCGAGAGGCCTGGCCCAAGGAGAGACTCAAGGCGGGATGCCGAACTCGGCTCTCACGGGCAGAGACCTGTTCTGGGTGGGCGGTGACCACGGGGGTGAGGGTTCTCAGAACACGGATTACAATCATCTCCATGCAGGACCTTCTAGCAGTTAGAGCTGCTGAAATACGGATGGAGCGGCCTTGTGTGGTAATGAGTCCCCCGTCACTGGAGGTATGCAAGCCAGGGCTGCGACCTCGCTGTGGCTGAGCCGTGGAGGCCCACAGTGGGTCGTCCCTGCGTGTGCTGAAACCCCTGCCGTGGGCCACTGTGTTCCAGGATCAGCCATCCCATATTCCCAAGTGTTGGGGAAAACATTCTAAACCGTTTCTGCTGATTAAAACCAGACCCAATGCTGGATCTCCATCTCAAAGATGATGAAGTCATTTCCTTCTGTCACATTTCTAGACACTGCCGTCCAGGAGGCTTCCTTGAGATTTTCAAATGAACCATTTCCCCAGTCCTCTTTGCTTCCCCCGAAGTTTTAGAATCTAGAATCGTGTCTCCTGGGTTTTAAAGGTCTTTTCTGACCTGACAGCTCAAGGGGCGGGGCGTGGGGCGTTACAACCCCACGGGCAGCAGGTTTTCCTGGGTTTGGGGGAGATGTCTTCTGACTGACTCCAGGGTCCCTGGCTCGGCCTGGCTGTGGCCGGGTGGGTGTGGGTCTCTTTTTTGGAGCCCCTGTACCCCTAGCACAGCTGGGAAGCCCTGTTGTCCCTCCTGCCCGGGCTCAGCCGGGCCCCCTGAGAATTCCCAAGGGGTGTTGACTGATTGAACAAAGGCCAGTGGCAGAAAGACCCTGTCAGCAAAGCTGTCAGCACAAGCAAGCATTTGGGAGGTCCAGGAGGCAGGCAGGGAGGCGGGTGGCCCCCGCCCCCCTCCGTGATGCCCACAAGGGGGCCCCTGGAAGCTTCTGCGGGTGGCATATCAGCTTGCACATGCTGCCCCCATAAAGGAAACCGCTCGGCTCACCCACATTTCCTGTACCTTGTAAACAACCAGCCCTCCCCCTTAAGTAGACACCCCTGCGCCCGAGCTGGTGACCACCGAACCTGGCTGGGTGGACGTGATTAGAAGGACAACGGCCACCTTCCAGTGGTTTTGCTGGTCTTGCGTCCGTCCCTCTCCACCCCTGTTTTCCTCTGGGGACCCACGTGCCCATACACTTTCTGTCCAGGCTGTCGGGAGGGGTTGACGCCCACTGCCCCCACCGCCCCAGGCTCCAGGAGGGAGGAAGCGACTCCCCTCTGGCCAATCAGAACCCTTCCTCCTGCTGGCCACAGTGACTGGGTCAGGGAGGACACGTGACCCATGCCAGCCAATAAGACTTCGCTCTGGGACTTTAGTTTTAACTGCTGAGTGAGAATGAGCCCCGCTGAAGCCGCCTGGGCCATCTCTGCTGCAATTTGAAGAGAGTCTTTTTTAAGAGGGTAGCTGACGGGGGGGGGAGAAGGTTGCTGAGAGATGGACAGACCAGTCCTGACCTCACTAAGCACCTGGATCTAGCTGAACCTGAAGCCGACATATCTGAAGCCAAATCAATCCCGGATCTTTTCTATCACATGAGTTGAGAGATTCCTTTAGCCAGGAAGCAACTGGTCCCCAAATCTGGCTTTCTGGTCTCTGCAGAAGGAAGGACCCTGGAGCCAGACAGACATGGGTTCAAATCCGGTCTCCTCACAAACTAGGAGACCCTTGGCCAGCTACCTCTCTTGGGTGTCAGATTCCTTTGCTACGAAGTGGGAATGGCACCCACTGCTTAAGGCCGTCAGGAGACCTTACTGAGAACATAGAGTGGCGAGGATTGGGCCCGGGAGATGGTCAGTTCTGATGGAGATGTTTGGACAAGGACCCACGAGGTCCAGGCCTGCCCACAGCAGAAGATACCCTGAACTGGGAGACTATTCCCCTGCCTGAGCCTCAGTTTCTCCACCTGTAGCCCTGGAGGGCTGGAGGCTAGCGAGCACCCCTTCTTGGCCTCTCTCCTTCCCCTCCTCCACCTGAACTCCGGCTCGGGGCAGCTTTCTCTGGAGGTGAGTGGTTCCCTTCTCGGCATTTCTTGGATGCCTGCCAAGTGCCAGGAGCTTGGAGTGCGTTAACTCTGCTTCTCGGGAGAACAACCTGGGTTGGCGGCAGCATCTGCCCACTTCGCAGATGAAGAAACTGAGGCTCACCGGCCAGGTCACACAGCCATAGGGCAGAGCTGGGATTTGATCTCCTATC